TTGATTGACAGTTGAGAGGCGGGACCAAAGAGCCAAAGCTCAACCCCCGCAAGCACAACTAGGTAAATACAACTAGGTAAGTACAACTAGGTAAGTACACACACCAGACAAAATATTCTAAAGAGTTCTTGAGACCAAATTAAGAATTCCAATAAGCTGTAGCAACAGCGCCCAATTGGTCGCGGGCCATCAGCCGACGAATGGGACGCTCATAGGTGTCAATCACTCGTAATCCCAGGCTCCCCATTGGCCGAGCTGCTCGAGAGGCGTGAAAAGTAGGCGGGGCCAAGGCAGAGGTGTGAAGAACCAATCAGAGTACTCCGATCTTCTCCTAAAGCCTTGCAAATGGTCATTGGCGTTTGTTGAACAGTTTAACATCAGCGAGGCACTACACATCAACAAGTCAACACAAGCAATCAACAGCCAATTAATGCACAACTATATTCTACCCACTTCAAGACTCCGCACCAATATAGAAGCAGCAAGAGGGCCAATAGGCCCTTTACAGTTACTTCTATTCTTCCCTCTCATTTATCCAATTAATACCCAATGTTCCGTGTTCTGTCTTGTGTTGGTGAAAAGTTTGTTCACCTCATCCAGAACTGTTGCAACACATCACCTCACCGAAATGCCAGTATATAAGACAAGCTGTTAAAGTGTTTAGCATAAGTAAAACTCTGTTTAGTGTTTTCAGGTTACAGTTGTGTGTGTAAACTAAAGTCTTTGAAAATGTAATAAGTTATTACAAAACGCGTTCAAGCGTCGCGTCAGACTAGAAATAAAAATGAATTTTGGAAAATTTATTTTTCAATTACCATCGACAGTAAAAACAAAACATTAAAAATATTGAGAAAATTTGTGTTAGAATTATTAATCTCACTTTTTCGGTCATATTTAACAACATATGTTTACAAGAAAGACTGCTACCAAAATATACTAATATATATATATGTCGTACCTAGTAGCCAGAACGCACTTCTCGGCCTACTATGCAAGGCCCGATTTGCCTAATAGGCCGAGTGATTTTCTTTATTTTCAACAATTAATTTCCAATTAGTTTATTTGAATTCTTTTTATTATATTATATTAAGATCATAAATTATTGACTTAGTTATGTTAGTTTAGGTTAGGTTATAATAGGTTAGGTTAGGTAGGGTTGGTTAGGTTCGGTCATATACCTACATTACTTTTAACTTCAATTGAAAAAAATTCATCTCATACATAATGAAATGGATACCCTTATTATTTAATAAGAAAAAAAAATTGAGAAAATATATAAATTCAGGAAAACTTGGCTTATTAGGCAAATCTTGCTTTGCATAGTAGGCCGAGTACGACGTTCTAGCTACTAGGTACAACATATATATATATATATATATATATATATATATATATATATATATATATATATATATATATATATATATATATATATATATATATATGTGTGTGTGTGTGTGTGTGTGTGTGTGAGAGTGTGTGTTTCAAACATAAATTAATGTTAAAAGTGCTTTACAGAAGTCAAAGTCCAAAGTGCACAGTAGTCATAGAGACGTGAGCGGGAGAGCGCGCCGGGAGGCAGGTCAGGAAGCACTTTGTCGCTCAGGAAGTATCAACATCCTTCTCACGCCGGGAAAAATGAGATGTTTTGGCAATATGTTATTTAAACACCTCACACACACCTGCCCTGAGCCTTCACACTGAAGGTGGTGACAAGTCTTAGGTGAGCTTCTTTTTTTGTAGTGTGTGTGTGTGTGTGTGTGTGTGTGTGTGTGTGTGTGTGTGTGTGTGTGTGTGTGTGTGTGTGTGTGTGTGTGTGTGTGTGTGTGTGTGTGTGTGTGTGCATTTATTTGGCTTTTGTTTTTATTATGAATTGATTTTCCACCTGTGTCCCCTTACTCGACTTCTCCCATGCTTTGCAATCTGTACTTCTCTGCCATATAAGTTTTCCTGATAACTTTATAGGTAGTAGTCATGTCTCCACTAACCCCGTGAGGCAATTCCTGTGAGGTAAAATCACCCTTCCATGTTGGAATATGTGGGTTGGAATATTTGGGAATGAACGAGCAGATGTGCTGGCTGCTGAAGGCGCTGAAGGAGACCATATTGAATACTTCATACCCAAGACTCTACTACAAATTAGAGGTATTGTCAGGCAACATCACCGTGACAAGGTAACTGAGGAAAGGAGGATAGAAGCACAAACCAGTGAATCTGTACGATGGTACAACATGGTTGCTGCTGGCAATCCCAATCATTATGGACAAAGAGGAGGAGGACGAGGGAGAGAATCAGTAATAGCGAGAATCCGTCTTGGATACAAATATCCATGGAGATTTGGAATGGAAACAACAGTTGAGCACCGGAGTTGCAGAATCTGTGGTGAGAGTGATGGACACCGCCTTGACCACTACTTAAGAAAATGTGAATCTAATAGTCATTATATATATGTAGCATACTAAACCCCACATTGAGTTAGGAAAATATTATTTGTCAAATATTGATGCTGTTCTTAAAAGATTCCTCCATTTTGAACCAGCAAGATATTAATATTTTAAGGGTTGACGATTGTTAATCTTCTTGTTTGAGGAGATTAGAGTGTACAACACCCACACACACACACACACTCTGTACAACACCCACACACACACACACACACACTGTACAACACCCACACACACACACACACACACACACACACACACACACACACACACACACACACACACACACACTGTACAACACACACACACACACACACACACTGTACAACACCCACACACACACACACACTGTACAACACACACACACACACACAATTATGAGAAGGATTAAGACAGAAGAGGACTGTTTGAGGCTTCAAGAAGACGTAGACAAACTGAAGGAATGGTCGAACAAATGGTTGTTAGAGTTTAACCCAACCAAATGTAATGTAATGAAGATAGGTGTAGGGAGCAGGAGGCCAGATACAAGGTATCAGCTGGGAGAGGAAATCCTTCAGGAGTCTGAGAAGGAAAAAGACTTGGGGGTTGATATCACGCCAGACCTGTCTCCTGCAGCACATATCAAGAGGATAACATCAGCGTCATATGCCAGGCTGGCCAACATACGAACGGCATTCAGAAACTTGTGTAAAGAATCATTCAGAACTTTGTATACCACATATGTCAGGCCAATCCTGGAGTATGCAGCCCCAGCATGGAGTCCATATCTAGTCAAGGATAAGACTAAACTGGAAAAGGTTCAAAGGTTTCCCACCAGACTAGTACCCGAGCTGAGAGGTATGAGCTACGAGGAGAGACTACGGGAATTAAACCTCACTTCGCTGGAAGACAGAAGAGTTAGGGGGGACATGATCACCACATTCAAAATTCTGAAGGGAATTGATAGGGTAGATAAAGACAGTTTATTTAACACAAGGGGAACACGCACAAGGGGACACAGGTGGAAACTGCGTGCCCAAATGAGCCACAGAGATATTAGAAAGAACTTTTTTAGTGTCAGAGTGGTTGACAAATGGAATGCATTAGGCAGTGATGTGGTGGAGGCTGACTCCATACACAGTATCAAGTGTAGATATGATAGAGCCCAATAGGCTCAGGAACCTGTACACCTGTTGATTGACGGTTGAGAGGCGGGACCAAAGAGCCAGAGCTCAACCCCCGCAAACACAACTAGGTGAGTACACACTGTACAACATGATGCAAGATAGAAAGCCTATAACGAAGCCAATATCCACCTGATATATCCTATCAATTCTCCAGAGAACTTTTGACGTGGTAATCATGTCTCCACTCACCCTTTGAGGCTAATTTCCATCAGTTCTATTTCACGTTCATCTTATAGTTCCCGGACGTATCTGGCTGTACTCCACTGAACTTTCTCCAACTTTCCCAACATGTCACCGTAAATCCCCCCTGTCACTGTAAATCCCCCCTTGTCACCGTAATCCCCCCTGTCACCGTAAATCCCCCCTTGTCACCGTAAATCCCCTTTCTGTCACCGTAAATCCCCCCTTGTCACCGTAAATCCCCTTTCTGTCACCGTAAATCCCCCCTTGTCACCGTAAATCCCCCCTCTGTCACCGTAAATCCCCCCTCTGTCACCGTAAATCCCCATGTCACCGTAAATCCCCCCTATCACTGTAAATCCCCCCTACCTGCCATCAAAGAGGGAGACCAAAGAACAGCTATAAATCCAGTAACCCCCTTTCAAACTCTAAATACGGTCTGTTGATGACCAATTGGACTTCGGCTCTTGTGAAGCGGGACTTGTATATTAACAAGTCCTGCACGCCGAGGCTCTCGGACTCCATCAGTCCTTCAAATCGGCCTTAAACAGCATGGTAATGAGGCGGTCTTCGCGGGACGGGCCGCGAGGAGTCCGTCCGCCTCTAGACAAACGCTGCCTGAATGAAGACAGGTATTTAATGCATAACTTGTGTATCTTGGTGGCGTTCTCACGGTCGCTGTGTACTGCTGGGACTGCTGGGACTTTGCTGTGGGCTCCTGGGACTGTTGGGACTTTGCTGTGGGCTCCTGGGACTGCTGGAACTTTGCTGTGTACTGCTAGGACTCCTGGGATTTTGCGGTGGACTGCTGGGACTTTGCTGTGGGCTCCTGGGAATGCGTTATGTACTGCTGGGGCTGTTGGGACTTTGCTGTGGACTCCTGGGACTGCTGGGACTTTGCTGTGGGCTCCTGGGACTGCGCTGTGGGCTCCTGGGACTGTTGGGATTTTGCTGTGGACTCCTGGGACTGCTGGAACTTTGTTGTGAGCTCCTGGGACTCCTGGGACTGTTGGGACTTTGCTGCGGGCTCCTGGGACTGTTGGGACTTTGTTGTGGGCTCTTGGGACTCCTGGGACTGCGCTGTGTACTGCTGGAACTGTTGGGACTTTGCTGTGGGCTCCTGGGACTGTTGGGACTTTGCTGCGGGCTCCTGGGACTGTTGGGACTTTGTTGTGAGCTCCTGGGACTCCTGGGACTTTGCTGTGGGCTCCTAGGACTCCTGAGACTGCGCTGTGGGCTCCTGGGACTGTTGGGACTTTGCTGTGGGCTCGTGGGACTGTTGGGACTTTGCTGTGGGCTCCTGGGACTGCTGGGACTTTGCTGTGAGCTCCTGGGACTCCTGGGACTGTTGGGACTTTGCTGCGGGCTCCTGGGACTGTTGGGACTTTGTTGTGGGCTCTTGGGACTCCTGGGACTGCGCTGTGTACTGCTGGGACTGTTGGGACTTTGCTGTGGGCTCCTGGGACTGTTGGGACTTTGCTGTGGGCTCCTGGGACTGCGCTGTGGGCTCCTGGGACTGTTGGGATTTTGCTGCGGGCTCCTGGGACTGTTGGGATTTTGCTGCGGGCTCCTGGGACTGTTGGGATTTTGCTGCGGGCTCCTGGGACTGCTGGGACTTTGCTGTGGACTCCTGGGACTTTGCTGCGGGCTCCTGGGACTGTTGGGACTTTGTTGTGGGCTCTTGGGACTCCTGGGACTGCGCTGTGTACTGCTGGGACTGTTGGGACTTTGCTGTGGGCTCCTGGGACTGTTGGGACTTTGCTGTGGGCTCCTGGGACTGCTGGGATTTTGCTGTGGACTCCTGGGACTGCTGGGACTTTGCTGTGGGCTCCTGGAACTTTGCTGTGGGCTCCTGGGACTGCTGAGACTTTGCTGTGGGCTCCTGGGACTGCTGGGACTTTGTTGTGGGCTCATGGGACTGCTGGGATTTTGCTGTGGACTCCTGGGACTGCTGGGACTTTGCTGTGGGCTCCTGGGACTGTTGGGACTTTGCTGTGGACTCCTGGGACTGCTGGGACTTTGTTGTGGGCTCCTGGGACTGCTGGGACTTTGCTGTGGGCTCCTGGGACTGTTGGGACTTTGCTGTGGGCTCTTGGGACTGCTAAGACTTTGTTGTGGGCTCCTGGGACTTTGCTGTGGGCTCCTGGGACTGTTGGGACTTTGCTGTGGGCTCCTAGGACTGTTGGAATTTTGCTGTGGACTCCTGGGACTGCTAAGACTTTGCTGTGGGCTCCTGGGACTGTTGGGACTTTGCTGTGGGCTCCTGGGACTGCTGGGATTTTGCTGTGGACTCCTGGGACTGTTGGGACTTTGTTGTGAGCTCCTGGGACTGTTGGGACTTTGCTGTGAGCTCCTGGGACTCCGCTGTGAGTGCATTATCAATGTCTGAGTGCATATGATTTGGGGGATATTTTGAGATGTAAGCTTCATCCAAACGTATCCTCAGATCTTTATATTGCACTCAAGATACACTCAAGATACACTCAGGATATTGCACTCAGGAGGGGACGAAAGGCTTGAGTGTAGTTCAAATCTTGGCGTAAAATACATAAATATATGAGTGGTTATTTTGGTCTTATCGTGTCAGTGAGAAGTATAATGTATATTTGTGTTAGGAAGGATTTGTTGCTGTTGCCTAACTCAGCCTACCGCTGCTGCTGCTGCTGCTTCTGCTGTTCCTGCTGCTGCTGCTTCTGCTGCTGCTGCTGCTGCTGTTCCTGCTGCTGCTGCTGCTGCTGCCTAACTCAGCCTACCTCTGCTGCTGTTCCTGCTGCTGCTTGTCTCAGCCTACCGCTGCTCCATTAGCAGACGGGTAGACGCCAACAGCTCAAAGCCATAAAAATTGACACCGAAGCGGGGACATTAGCACCCCATCTTCCGGCCAGTGACGAGGATGTGTCAGACCTGCTGGGGTAGGGGTGAAGGTTAGACTGCTCCCTCCCACCACCCCCACATCCCCCCCCCCCTCCCTCCTACCTCACCTCTCACCCCCTACCTCCTCACCTCTCACCCCTTCCCCCTCACCTTTCAACACTTTCCTACCCGAGGCGCCGTTCAATATTAACGACGTCGCCGCCTCACTGGCTCAAGTTCAACACGTTCAAGCCCTCTTGAACTTGTTGAACTTACCCCACTCTATGGGTAAGCCCCCATTAGAGGGGTTAGGGGAGGCTTCCCCCTCCCTTCTCCCGCCATTTTCCCATGGGTAAAGGGGCCATTTTCAGCGTCCGCCCTGGCGCCTGTAAAGGTCTGCCCTAAAGCAATAAAAGGGTGGTTGAGGTAGGTGGGGTTGGGGTAGGGGGCGAGGGAAGAGGGTAAGGGGCAAGGGAAGGGGGCAAGGGAAAGGGGTAGGGAGGGCCAGGGGGGACATGAGATGGTACCCAACCACTGGTGAATGGCTTGAGGGACAGGCTTAGAGGATAGGCTGGTGTACCACCACTCAGCACCACCACACTCAGCACCACCACACCAGCACCACCACTCAGCACCACCACACTCAGCACCACCACACTCAGCACCACCACACTCAGCACCACCACACTCAGCACCACCACACCAGCACCACCACACTCAGCACCACCACACCAGCACCACCACTCAGCACCACCACACTCAGCACCACCACACTCAGCACCACCACACCAGCACCACCACACTCAGCACCACCACACCCAGCACCACCACACTCAGCACCACCACCACTCAGCACCACCACACCAGCACCACCACACCAGCACCACCACACTCAGCACCACCACACTCAGCACCACCACACTCAGCACCACCACACTCAGCACCACCACACTCAGCACCACCACACTCAGCACCACCACACTCAGCACCACCACACCAGCACCACCACACCAGCACCACCACACCAGCATCACCACACTCAGCACCACCACACTCAGCACCACCACACTCAGCACCACCACACCAGCACCACCACACTCAGCACCACCACACCAGCACCACCAAACTCAGCACCACCACACCAGCACCACCACACTCAGCACCACCACACTCAGCACCACCACACCAGCACCACCACATTCAGCACCACCACACTCAGCACCACCACACCAGCACCACCACACTCAGCACCACCACACCAGCACCACCACACCAGCACCACCACACTCAGCACCACCACACTCGGCACCACCACTCAGCACCACCACACTCAGCACCACCACACCACCACCACCACACTCAGCACCACCACACTCAGCACCACCACACTCAGCACCACACTCAGCACCACCACACTCAGCACCACACCCAGCACCACCACACTCAGCACCACCACACTCAGCACCACCACACTCACCACCACACTCAGCACCACCACACTCAGCACCACCACACTCACCACCACACCCAGCACCACCACACTCAGCACCACCACACTCAGCACCACCACACTTACCACCACACCAGCACCAGCACACTCAGCACCACCACACCAGCACCACCACACTCAGCACCACCACACCCAACACCACCACACTCAGCACCACCACACTCAGCACCACGGCACTTAGCACCACCACACCCAGCACCACCACACTCAGCACCACCACACTCAGCACCACACCAGCACCACCACACTCAGCACCACCACACTCAGCACCACCACACTCAGCACCACCACACTCACCACCACACCAGCACACCCAGCACCACCACACTCAGCACCACACTCAGCACCACCACACTCAGCACCACCACACCCAGCACCACCACACTCAGCACCACCACACTCAGCACCACACTCAGCACCACCACACCCAGCACCACCACACCCAGCACCACCACACTCAGCACCACCACACCAGCACCACCACACTCAGCACCACACCCAGCACCACCACACTCAGCACCACCACACTTAGCACCACCACACCCAGCACCACCACACTCAGCACCATCACACTCAGCACCACCACACCCAGCACCACCACACCCAGCACCACCACACTCAGCACCACCACACCAGCACCACCACACTCAGCACCACACCCAGCACCACCACACGCAGCACCACCACACTCAGCACCACCACACCAGCACCACCACACTCAGCACCACCACACTTAGCACCACCACACCCAGCACCACCACACTCAGCACCACCACACTCAGCACCACACCCAGCACCACCACACTCAGCACCACCACACTCAGCACCACCACACTCAGCACCACACCCAGCACCACCACACTCAGCACCACCACACTCAGCACCACCACACCAGCACCACCACACCAGCACACTCAGCACCACCACACCAGCACCACCACACCAGCACCACCACACCAGCACCACCACACTCAGCACCACCACACCAGCACCACCACACTCAGCACCACCACACTCAGCACCACCACACTCAGCACCACCACACTCAGCACCACCACACCCAGCACCACACTCAGCACCACCACACTTAGCACCACCACACCCAGCACCACCACACTTAGCACCACCACACCCAGCACCACCACACTAAGCACCACCACACCCAGCACCACACTCAGCACCACTACACTTAGCACCACCACACCCAGCACCACCACACTTAGCACCACCACACCCAGCACCACCACACTTAGCACCACCACACCCAGCACCACCACACTCAGCACCACCACACTCAGCACCACACCCAGCACCACCACACTCAGCACCACCACACTCAGCACCACACTCAGCACCACACCCAGCACCACCACACTCAGCACCACACCCAGCACCACCACACTCAGCACCACCACACTCAGCACCACCACACTCAGCACCACCACACCCAGCACCACCACACTCAGCACCACCACACCAGCACCACCACACTCAGCACCACCACACTCACCACCACCACACCCAGCACCACCACACTCAGCACCACCACACTCAGCACCACCACACCCCGCACCACCACACCCAGCACCACCACACTCAGCACCACCACACTCAGCACCACCACACTCAGCACCACCACACCAGCACCACCACACTCACCACCACACCAGCACCACCACACTCAGCACCACCACACCACCACCACACTAGCACCACCACCACACTCACCACCACCACACTCACCACCACACCCAGCACCACCACACTCAGCACCACCACACCACCACCACCACACTCAGCACCACCACACTCACCACCACCACACTCACCACCACCACACTCAGCACCACCACACTCAGCACCACCACACCACCACCACCACACTCAGCACCACCACACTCAGCACCACCACACTCAGCACCACCACACTCAGCACCACCACACTCACCACCACCACACTCAGCACCACCACACTCACCACCACCACACTCAGCACCACCACACCCAGCACCACCACACCAGCACCACCACACCACCAACACCACCACCACACACCTCACCTCCACCACCACACCACACACCTCACCACCACACCACTACACCACCCCCACATCACCACCACCACACCACCACCACCACACCCAGCACCACTACACCACACCACACCTTCACACCACAACACCAACACCACCACACCACACCACCACCACCACCACAGCCTCCTCCAAGCACCCAGAGATGAGCCCCAGATGATGCTTCACACAGTATACCTGGATGCTGTAGTCAGCCCTCAGGCCATAGTTAAGCAACTACCCGCAGCACGTGTTAACGAGGCACTTAGCTCAGCCCTGATGGTCTGCTGCTCATACATTAGATGATGTGTTCAGGGCTTCCACTGGTATTTACTATTTGTTTCTGCAGAATCGAGTGATTAGCTCTTGGACCCCGCCTTTCTAATCAATTTTATTTCTCTATATCTACCACATATATTTCTCAATAACACACACACCGTGTTAAACTTCCGTGTTAATAACACACACACCGTGTTAAACTTCCGTGTTAATACCACACACACCGTGTTAAACTTCCGTGTTAATACCACACACACCGTGTTAAACTTCCGTGTCAATAACACACACACCGTGTTAAACTTCCGTGTTAATAACACACACACCGTGTTAAACTTCCGTGTTAATAACACACACACCGTGTTAAACTTCCGTGTTAATAACACACACACCGTGTTAAACTTCCGTGTTAATAACACACACACCGTGTTAAACTTCCGTGTCAATAACACACACACCGTGTTAAACTTCCGTGTTAATAACACACACACCGTGTTAAACTTCCGTGTTAATAACACACACACCGTGTTAAACTTCCGTGTTAATAACACACACACCGTGTTAAACTTCCGTGTTAATAACACACACACCGTGTTAAACTTCCGTGTTAATAACACACACACCGTGTTAAACTTCCGTGTTAATAACACACACACCGTGTTAAACTTCAGAGCTAAATTTTCA